AATGAAACTCACAAGGAATTAGCTTTCAGATCCATTCAATTTCCTCTCCCAACATTTGGATAAAGACAGAATTCAGTAAAAGCTATCAAACTTATCACTGGCTTTTGAAATAAAGTTAACAGGGGCACCTGGGTGGCTCAGTTGATTAAGTGTCTAGCTCCGGCTCAGGCATGATCTCGTCGTTTGTGAGTTCAAGCCTCGCGTCAGGGTCTGTGCTATCAGCCTGCTTCAGACTGTGTCTCCCTCTCTCTCTGTCCCTCCCCTGCTTGTGCTCTGTCTCTCTCTGTCTCTCTCTCTCAAAAATAAATAAACATTAAAAAAAATTTTAATGAAATAAAGTTAACAAAAGAAAGCTGTGTGTGCAATATACTGACAACTACTTATTAACAAATGGATTAACAAAGAAAACCAAGTTGTTTTACTCCTCTTTTATATGTAAAACACACATATTTTTCAGTATATTATTCTTTTAATCAGTGATCACTACACTATTGTGTTAATGCAATGAATTAAAGAGAAAAGTCAGCTGTTTCTCTCAAATGGTATGGTTTTTCTTATGCTACAAGTTATATCTGGTAGAAGGTGAAACTCACACTTTCAATTCCCAAAAATTCTAGGAAATTATCATCTAATTTCATGACAGTATAGGTAAGAAAACTGGAAATGATAACAAACAAGTTTTAATACTCCTACCAATAAGAACACTGATAAATATCCATCCAAAGGATGTAATGTAAAATACTACAAGGATTATTCATCCCAGTTAAATATGCATCTCTCACAATAAAGGATGGAGCAGAATGCAGGCACACATTGGTTTCCGGATAACTAGTTTCTCTTTCCTTTCTTAGCCCCATTCGCTTGGCAATTTAAGATCTATTGCCAATCTACTTCCTTCACTTTTAATGAAAACTAACAAACAAAGAATTTGTCTTTTACATTCTATACTTTGTTTTCTTCTCATTTTAATTCCCTTATCTATGACACAGCACACTGTAGTATACCAAAAACAATGTAACAAAAGAGAAGTTAATTATCAACTGGAAGGAATGGAGGAAAAGGAGGAAAGGGAGTGGCATTGAGCTATGAGCCAATGGGCTACCACCTTTTATCCAACTATTGCTTATATCCAACCGATTTAAGCAATATTCTTAGCTTGCCACTTTCTCAACTTATGGGCCTCACTGCTATAAAAATAACCCTTCAATTTCCACATACTATATTATCCACATCTTGCTGTTTAACTGAACTTCACCATATTCACTTTTCCTGCTGTAACATGTTCGCTAAAACTGGAGGCTCTGATTTCAACACAAGATTTTACTATGTTTACATTCCCTTGCCCTAAACTTGTTTATTTTTGTTATAATATACTTCAGCTTTTATCAGCTGCCAGGTTAACAATATTCTTGCCACAAAACAATTCACTATTACATAAGCAAAGCATAGTGATATATGCCTATGAATGAACCATGTCCACAACCTTAAAAAGGGGGGAAAAAAGCACATCAAAGTTGTTGCCTTTATATTAAGTGTGTCAAAGATTCAAGTATTTTTTAAATCTGAGCAAGAAACACCAGTTAAATCAGGTCTTGGCAAGATTTGGTGTAAATATAAATCTGAGCTGTCTTTCCCTGTTTTTTTTTTTTTCTTTTAGAAAATGAGCATAGGTTTTATCTGCTGATACCATTATCATTTACAAGTCTTCAAAATCTGGTTATTTATGTGATTGTAAAAGGGCTATAGCTGTTTTTGTTATTACTTAAAAAATTGTTTTAATGTTTATTTTTGAGACAGACAGAGACAGAGACAGAGACAGAGTGTGAGCTGCGGAGGAACAGAAAGTGAGGGAGACACAGAATCTGAAGAAGGCTCAGCACAGAGCTATCAGCACAGAGTCTGATGTGGGGCTTGAATTCATGCTGTGAGAACATGACCTGAGCCAGAGTTAGACTTTTAACTGACTGAGCCACCCAGGGGCCCCTACGGCTGTTTTTCTTTAATGCTATGACAATTGTGCATGTCAAATCCAGTCTATTACATAATGTATACTTTAAAGATATTCTTCCAAATTTCAATCATATTTAGTGAAGTTTTTAGAAGTCTTCCTCATTCCAAATTATTCAAGGTTTTATGTTCTAATTATATGTTAATTACATTAAAAGGATAGAAATAGTAATAGTTTCTAAACAGGAAGAGAACAAATGACATACATATTTTTCAAAGTATATAGTTGCTTTGGAATACTCTTTTTTTACTTGTTTTTTTTTTACTTGATACTAGTGGGATCTTGTCCTATAAGAAAATAAATAAGAAAAAAGTAGGACTCGATTCACTCAAAGGAGGAACCAGTGTTTTGTAATAAACTTGCTGATGTCACTAAATTGAAGTTAGTAATAATTCTGAGTCCATCAAATGTTTTTTAAAAAAAATTTTTTTTCATGTTTTATTTATTTTTGAGAGAGAGAAAGAGAGAGACAGCATGAGCAGGGGAGGGTCAGAGAAAGAGGGAAACACAGAATCTGAAGACAGGTTCCAGGCTCTAAGCTGTCAGCACAGAGCCCGACGCAGGGCTCGAACCCATGAACCGTGAGATTATGACATGAGCCAAAGTCGGATGCTCAACCAACCCAGACGCCCCATTAAAAAGTTTATAATGAAACAAATTAGTAATATAAGATTATAGGAAAACACTTAAACATCTTTAGAAAACAAATTTTTATATTAAAAATATTTTTAAATAAATAATTTGTTAAAGATATAGCATTATTAACTCAGGCAGCATCTACCAGACATTTTTTAATTAGATATCTTATGCAATCAAAGTTAATTAACTTGCATGTCACTGAAAAACTATTCTGTGGTATTCATTTCCCACTAATTCTTACTAATTTTCCCATAAATTTAATTATATTTTCATCTTCTCAGCATGTAGGTGGACAGTCAAAGAGGGAGGAAAGAGTGGAAATGAGGTAAGAAAAGAAAAGCAAAAAGAGAGGGAGGAAGAAAATAGAAAAGAAAAACTTCAAAGAGACATTAAAAGAAAATAAGAGAGCGTATGGAAGAAAGAAGGGAAAGGGGAACCTGAAAACAAATCTTACTACTAGTACTACCAATACTGTTGTTATTATTATTATTACTATTATATTGAACCAAGCCCCATCTCATCTCCTGCCAGAGTTCTGAAAGCCAAGTCAAGGGAGAGCAGGGCAGGGGATGAGGGAAGAATTTCTCAGCATTCGGTATACACAGATTTACTTAATCTCCATTTTCAATTTTAACTCCTGATCTCCCCCAGGTTAAAAACTCTCTCTTTTAATCTTTCCAACCATCTGCCAGCATGGGAAAGGGCAGTTACTCAGTGTGATGAAATATGTGAGAATATCTTCAATAGTTTTCAATGAATCCTCCTTATTTCAGAAGTTTCTTCCCCGTTTCCAGACACATCACTAACACCTAGTTCCAGAAGTATCTAGGTCCAGATCTCGAGCCTTTTTAAAGATCCTGAAATTTAGACTGTACTAATTTTTTGGCTTTCTCCATTGCTGACGGAGATTTGGCATTTTCTAATCAGTTATCACTGTGGTGTTCAATCCACTATCTTTACCTGGAAGGCTCACAATACATGCTATTTTCAAGTATCATTGGTATACTTGAAAAAAATAATATTAATGTTATACCATAGGCCACAGTGAAAGTTCAAGAAATTTTTAAAAAGTAGAAACTACAGGGGCGCCCGGGTGGCTCAGTCGGTTGAGTGTCCGACTTTGGCTCAGGTTATGATCGCAGAGGTCGTGGGTTCAAGCCCTGCGTCAGGCTCTGTGCTGACAGCTCAGAGACTGGAGCCTGCTTCAGATTCTATGTCTCCGTCTCTCTCTACCTCTCCCCCACCCCACCACGCTCTGTCTCCCTCTCTCCTTCAAAAATAAATTAACATTAAAAAAATTTTTTTTTAATTTTTTAAAGTAGAAACTACAAACTACAAACTGCATTCTTCAACAATAAGGCAGTCAAACTAGAATATAACAAAAAGTTAAACAAGCCAAAAAAAATTCCAAATTTTAAAATACTCTGCCAAATAAGATTAAAAAGTACCATGACACATTTTTTTTTAAATGACAAAAAAAAGTCCTAAATATCAAAACATATAATTAGAGGCAAATTCAGATTTAAACTCTTTCTTTATTAAAAAGAATAAAACCTCAAATCTCATACAAACCTTAGAAAATTAAAAAGCCAACAAAAGCAAAAATCTCAGTATAACAGGATAAAGAAAAACAACAAATCAATAAATTGTAAACTGAAAAAATACCAATAAATAAATTGTAAAAGCCATATTAAAAAATAAAACTACTTTGGGGATACCAGTGTGGCTTAGTCAGTTAAGCATCCCACTTCATCTCAGGTCATGATCTCACTGTTTGTGGGTTCAAGCCCCACATCCGGCTCTGTGCTGATGGCTCAGAGAGTGGAGTCTGCTTCTGATTCTGTGTCTCCCTCTCTCTCTGCCCCTCCCCTGCTTGTACTCTGTCTCTGTCTCTCTCCCTCCCTCTTTCTCTCTCTCAAAACTAAATAAACATTAAAATAAGTTTTTTTTAAAAAACTACTTTGGAAAACATATACACATATGAGAATGTTCTATAGTTAGGCTCTGCATGAGAAAATATTTAGGGGTGAAGTGTTATGGTGTCTGCAACTTAATTTTATGTGTTTCAGAAAATAAAACGATATCTACTACTTTCTCTAAGCAAACTACTTTTATTCTTTTTCTAAGCAAATTCAGCAAAACTGAATTTAAGTGATGAGAATATAGTATATAGCTGTTCATCGTACTATGCTTTCAACTTTTCCATTCATTTAAAATTTTTCAAAGTAAAAAACTGAAGAAAAATATGCAGACATTGGGGACATTTACAAATAAGTGCTTAACTAGAAGTAAGGATTTATAAAGCAATAAATATCAAGAAAATGTATGGTATTTAATTTCTTTACTTTCTTACCAGAAATGTAATGAATATGGTTTAACTGTCTTGCAGATTTCCTTTTCTAAAGTGCAATGAACCCAAGGAGTCCACAGTGTTCTAAGATAAAATGAAGATAAACATCAAGATTCCTGATATTGTGGTTCTTCAGAAAATATTGTAATGAAAAATCACTTATTTTTAACATTTATTTATTTTTGAGAGACAGAGAGGGACAGAGCATGAGCAGGGGAGGGGCAGAGAGAGAGGGAGACACAGAATCTGAAGCAGGCTCCAGGCTCTGAGCTGTCAGCACAGAGCCTGAAGTGGGGTTTGAACTCAGGAAGAGCGAGATCATGACCTAAGCCGAAGTCAGATGCTCAACCAACTGAGCAACCCAAGTGCCACTGAAAAGTCATTTTAAAAATCCTCACTTTAAAGGAGCCTGGGTGGCTCAGTCAGTTAGGCATCCAACTCTGGATTTCAGCCCAGGTCATATTCTCACAGTTCACGAGATCAAGCCCTGTGCTGGGATCTGGGCTGACAGCACAAAGCTTGTTTGGGATTCTCCCTCTCTCTTTCTTTCTCTCTCTGCCCCTTCCCAGGCCATGCTCTCTCTTTCACATAATAAACATTTTTTAAAAAAATCCTTACTTTAGGGGTGCCTGGATGGCTCAGTCAGTTGAGCATCCGACTCTTGATTTCAGCTCAGGTCATGATCCCAGGATCATGGGATCCAGCCCTGTGTTGGGCTCCACCCTGAGCATGAACCCTTGGGATTCTCTCTTTCACTCTCCCTCTCTCTCTCCTCTGCTCCTCTTCCTCACTAGCATGCTCACTCTCTCTCTAAAATTAATAAATTTTTTAAAATCCTCACTTTATGTACCTTTGAAAAGTTAAAACAGAAAAAGTTAACTGAAAATACATAGCAGGTCTTCACTAACCATTCTTTAAGGCCAAATACATTTTATAAAGTTTGGAAAATTCTGATAAGTTGCTGTGCTGACAGCAAAATACTTAATAAAGAAACCAAAACGACAAAAACAAATTATCTGAAACTAAACAGAGTCACAGCACAGTGCACCCTTTAAAAGATCCAGTGTGCATTACAATGCAGATCTATGTCTTTATCCTTAAACTTTATCCAACTTTGTTAATCACAAAAGATTTTTCAACTAGAATTGATTTGAAAATCAAAGCCTAAAACAAATGAAATATAATGAGTACATTTACATATGTAAGATACTAATAAACTGGATTCAGACATAAAAGTTAGCTTAGTTGCTACTTGAAAACATATATAGAGAAACATGGGTCTGATTTTATAGGCTCTTTTAGGAGTATATATAATAGGCCATGAAAGGCATATAATTCATTACGATATTGAATAGTATGACAGGTTAAATACACCAGGTAAGTAATTGTAAATTTTCCTTTAAACTATAATACATGTCCTCTCTTCTGGATAAATGCTTCCTACTACAAGTCTTAATGTGCCATATTTTATAGCTCTAGTAATTTCTTCTTAATAAAAAGTTCCGTCCCTTGATCTGCACCATTCTTAGCAACTACAACATTAACACTTGTTTTTGAAATATGTAAGGCAGTCAACATTAACCAAAGTGAAAGGAGACAGAGAATATTTTAGTATTTGATAAATATAAAAGTATTCTATGTATCTTTGTAAAATGCAAAATCCAATATTAACAGAAAATTAGAAAGAACTTCTACCTTAAAATAAGGGAAAACAGTAAGAAATAAAGGAAAATAACAAGACAGCCAATCAACAAGGCAGCTGTTCTATAATTACATTTAGAAATGTTCCGGAAAAAGTAGGCTAGAGGCCAAGTATGTTGCATCACACAAGAAATCTATCAGTGAGAAAAAAATAAGGCATGTTCTTTTTTTTTTTTTTTTTTTTACAAATAGTTTATTGTCAAATTAGTTTCTACATAACACTCAGTGCTCATCCCCAAAGTGCCCTCCTCCATGCCCATCCCCCCTCCCCCCCACATCCATCAGTCCTCAGTTTTTGTCAGCATTCAAGAGTCTCTCCTGGTTTGCCTCTCTCCCTTTCCCCCACCATTTCCGCCCTTCTTCTCCCCCTTGTTCCTCCGTCAAGTTCCTCCTAATCCTCCTATACGTGCAAACATATGATATTTGTCCTTCTCTGCCTGACTTATTTAGCTCAGCATAACACCCTCAAGGTCCATCCATGTTGCTACACATGGCCAGATTTCATTGTTTCTCATTGCCATGTAGTATTCCATGGTATAGATAAACCACATCTTCTTGATCCATTCATCTGTTGATGGACACTTAGGCTCTTTCCATGTTTTAGCTATTGTGGAGAGTGCTGCTATGAACATTGGGGTACATGTGCTCCTATGCCTCAGCATTTCTGTATCCCTTGGGTAAATTCCTAGCAGTGCTATTGCTGGGTCATAAGGGAGTTCTATTGTTAGTTTCCTGAGGAACCTCCACACTGTTTTCCAGAGGGAAAATAAGGCATGTTCTGAAAGCCTCATAGCTAACAAAAAATGGATTTGTGGTACATTATAAAATACTAATAGGCGCCCTTTGAAAATTACTTCAAAGTCTTTATTCTGGCAGGTTTATGCTTTAATATCTGGACACAGTTTAATTTTGTTGTGTAATGTCAAAATATACACTAGGCTAAGCATTTGTATAAATAGAGGACTCTTAACTCTGACTCTCATTCTGAGAAATTCGAGGAATTAAAATTTTTACTTTCAATATTATTCCATTAAGATTGTTTGAAAAGTTGGGTGCAAAATCAGTCAAATTCTTATAAAAGACACTGACTCACTATATATACATTTAAAATGGCTTTGAATTATTTCCAACTGATCTTCAATTGGCAGTAGCTTTTATTATTCATACATTTGTACATTCATTCATTCCACAATTACTTATTGAGCACCTATGATTTGCCAGGTACTATTTTAAGAACTGGGGATACAGCAATAAACAAAATGAACAAAAGTTCCTTTCATTTTCTTATTCTTTTAGGTTTCTTGGCTCCTCCTTGGTTGTGCCAAAACCGTAATTATTTCCCAAATCCAGCCAGTCTTTTTTTAAATAAATTTTTTTCTAGACACAGGAGCACTCAGCTAGCACAGAGCTCTGGCTAAAGCCATGTGAGTAAGCTCTGAAGCATGGTATTGGAACAGAACTGATAAGGTCACTGGTTCACATGCTTGAAAGAAAGATGCTTGCTCTCCACCTCCTTCACAAAGGCTATACATGGTATTGGCAATATTCAACCACACAGAATAAAAAATGTTAGGAAATGGAAAACAAACAAACAAGGGTTGGAGGCTAGGGCGTGGGAAGGTAAAGAACCTTGACCCCTGGATGACTCTGGGGCAGAACAACCCTAAGCTGCCTACTAACTAGCTCAAACTTGGGAGAAAAGTTAAGTTTCTATAGTGGTTAAGTCACTGTTATTTGGTCCCTTAAAACAGCTGAACCAATAGGGATATATAGGAGTCCACTTGTCATTTTGAGTATTATTTTAAAATATGAAAAATGATCCTTTATTTACCTGGTGTATATTTTCAAACTCCTCATAGAAGGCATTCTTGAACTACTCTGTGACATGATCACATAAATCACTGCTTTTTTTTTTTATAAAATGCAACTCCTTCATATTTTATATGTATTTCCATTATTACACTTATCACACTTTCCTATAATTTGTTTCCATATTTATCTCACTACTAGGTGTCTATAAGAAAAAAGGTCTTATTCTTTTTTGTATCACATTGTGTCTGGCACAGAGTCAGTACTTAATATTTGTTAAATAAAATTTATACATTAAATTGGTTGTTTTTTGTTTTTATTTATTCAATTAGGTTATAAATAAACTATTAATTTTTCCTATTCAGAGAATAGAGTTCTCTGTTTCTCTAAGAAAAAATCAATAAATGGGGATTTTTTTTTTATATAGGAAACAGTGAAAATCTCTAGTTACTCATGGGTCGGAAAAATCAGTCCCAAACACTGAATAGAAAAGATCTTATTTTCAGTAATTAGCAAATGTCAAGGAATCTCAGTGTTTGTAAACACACTTCAATTTTACAAGGAATCAACATTCAATGACTATAGGTCTTGTCAATTTCATTTAGTAGGTACTAGTAGCAAAGCAAGTGAGGTGAGGTGAGTCAGACAGGATCCACATCAAAAGGAGTCATAGGAGCCCGCACAGAAAAAAAGAGTGGTAGAGAATCAGAGCAGGCCTAGAAAAGTGAGAAAAACAGAGCAAGAATGGGGAGGGGAGGGTACATGAGGAAACTCAGAATCTTTAAGAAGTAGAACAGAAGAAAACTATAACCAAAGAAGAAAACAATGGTAATGTTTACCTTGGAATTTTTAAGCTGTTAAAAGTATACACATACTCACATACACATGATATATAGTAATATATCACCTAACAAAACCGATAAAGTGATTACATTTAATAATATCTAATGCTGGTGAATGTGTGAGGCACCATAACACACCATTGGATGAATTATAGATCAGTGTTAACATTTTAGAGGGTAATTTGGCAATACCTATAATAAATTTTTGAATATACATTCTATTTCTAGAAATTTAACTTATGGGTATACTTGGAAAAAACCAGAAATATATATTTGTAGGAATGTCAGTAAAGTATTAATTTGTAAGAGAAAAAAATTGGGAATAATCTAAAGGTCCATTGATAGGGAACTGATTACTATACATGCAAGCAAGGGAATACAATTCTACACAACATTAAAAAAAACATAGCAGATCTCTTTGCATCTTTGAAGATATCCATGCTATTTTAAGTGGAAAAGAAAGCTATGGAACAGTGTGTGTGACATAATATCTTGTATGTAAGTAAATTTTTCTAAGGGTGTTTATGCTATACCTTAACATTTCTAGAATGACAAAAAGATATTCTTTTAAGTTTATTTATTTGTTAATCTCTACACCCAACATCTCTACACCCAAGCTCAAACTCATGACCCCAAAGATCAAGAATTGCATGGTCTTCCAATTGAGCCAGACAGGTACCTCAACAAAAAACTATTAATAAAATTCTAGAAGAAAACATCGCACGGAGAGGT